TAAAAGGGGTAGGAAAACCCCCCCCCCCATTCTGCATTGGCTGTCTCTAGCAAGCATGTCATTGCTAGCACCACTCTGGCAGCCACTAATGATCCTCTGCAAGCTAGCAAAAATTAAATGCAACTTGCTAGGCACGTTGGACACCTTACTACTCCCTATACCACACCATGGCTGGAGTGCAATGTGTTCCAGCAAAAATAGTGCACATCTTTATCAAATTTGGTGCATCCTGCTAGTTCGGTACACAGCCTGTGTAGATTCAATAATATTTTTAATTCAAATAATGTATGATTTCCTTCCTTTCAAATCAAGGGGGTAATGTTGGCGTATATAAATTTTTTGGGGGATAAAAGGTAAAAAAGCTCCCTGACCTCTGTTCTAGTGGTCCATCTCCTGATGAATACAGCCTGGGAATTTTTGCTCTCTCTCTCTCTCTCTCTCTCTCTCTGTGACTCTCTCTCTCTCTCTCTCTCTCTCTCTCTCTCTGTGTGTGTGTGTGTGTAGGGGGGGAGAGAAAGAGAGAGAGGATAATAGTATTTTTGTATGCCTGCTTCTATTTGCCATAGGTCTAGGCCATGTTGCCGAGACACTTGAATCATGACATGTTTATTAAAGGGATTCTAGTAGGGATGTTCACCTCTGGAGTTTATATTTTTAAATATATTTACTTGTAGCTAATTAAAATGAATATGTAACATGCAGTATCATCTTTAGTCACTGGGTGACAGATTTTCTTAACCTTCCTCAGAGATGCAGCTCAGGGCAAACCAGGGATATTCTCTTCTCCATAAGCTCTATATGATTCTTCCCATTAGAGGTTATTTGAATTCCTTGAAGAGTGAGAAACAGGCACACAGAGAAAACATCCAAATGCTTGGTACAATGAGGAGGTGGGAACAGAGGAAAGGACTAGAAAAGGAGGAGAAGGACCAGAAAAGAAGAAAGTGGGAAAACCAAAAAACAAAGAACAAAGGGAAGGAGGCTGCACTGGGGGCAGGGTTGTTGGGGGGAGGGGGAGAGAGACTAAGAGCTTTCTAAATTTTGGAAAATTGATACTTCTGTTAGTTTTTAATAATGCACACCTACAATTTTAATCTGTTTTTAACTTTTAATGTGACACTTCAAGAGTTTTCTAAGAACTGTTTTTTAGTACTTAGACTATATAATTGTAGGAAGAGATGACTCAGTATGTCTTGCCGTTTGCTTTTTTCATGCCCTTGGAACAGAACAATGGACTTTGAAATGACCAAACCACAGACAAACAAGAATAAACATGATGGGTGTATTATATTTGGCACATTTGCACTGGGACTGATTTTAATCCCTGGCAGACAGACTAGGTAAAGGGAGAGGGAATGCTGCATTTAATACCTTACAATCTACTTTGTGAATTCTTTGGTATGACTACGTAATATGGCAACAAACATGATTCATTATATATTTAAAAAGTGATTACTCACATTGGTTCCATAGAAAGAGTAATAATGCAGAAGATGTCTCTCTGTAGACAATTAAACCGTATTCAGTAAAATACTGGGGATGTACAGCTTGTCATTGTGCATCATTAAGTGGTGTTCAACTAAAGAGAATCTTGATCAGGTTTTCAAGGTATATTTAAGCAAAGGTTTTACCAGTGCCATCCCTACCCTCTGAGTTTGCATGGCCAAGGAAAGATTTCAAGCCAATTCTCCTGAATCCTGTTCTACACCACACTGGCTATCAGCATGGAGATGTACTAGCTATTGTTATATGGGAGGTGGTATTCAGCATTGGCTTGGACTGTTGGGTGGTGTTTTTTTTGTTTGTTTGTTTTTTTGCTGCTATACTCACAGGCTTCTGGTAACTTACTGAAATATAATGGCTGGTATCTTGTTCAGTATTCAAGTGTGTGGAATCCAGCTGTGTAAGACAGTGCAGTGATCTGGTGAGGTGCCGAACATATGCCTGATTACATGTTAATGGTGCCTCACGGATCACTAGGCAGCTTCTACTGTGGGAATTCTACATGTGTATAAATGTTGAACAAGATACCTACCAGTGAAAGTACTTTTAAGTCTCACTGTTTTCAATGAAAGTTATTGGATTTTTTTCGCACCACTTTAATTTCAGAAACTAAGCAGGACTGGGCCTAGTTAGTACTTTCATGGTTGTAATAAGGCTATACTGGTTTCAAACTGCTGATTTTAACTTATGAAGACCTAAATGGCTTGGGTCCAAGGTATCTAAAAGATTGTAACTCCCTTTATGAGCCTACCTCATAGGGTATGAAGATCACCAGGAATGACCTTTCTTTAAGTCCCACCACCCTCACAGGTGTAATTGGTGGGGACATGGGAGAGGCCCTTCCCTGTTACTGATCCTCTCTCTCTCTCTCTCTTCTCATGGGAGGCCAGACTGGCCCCATCTTTACTGTCCTTATGCAAGCAAACAAAGACCTTTCTCTTTAGGTAGGCTTCCCTTTAAAATGTCTGGTTGACCAAAAGGATTTTTTAAAGGGAACATTTTATTTTATGTTTATTTATGTTTTTAATATTGTTCTTATTATGAGTTCTAATATAATTGTGCAATTCTTTTAAAATTTAAAATTGCAAGATTTTTATTTGGCTTTTATCTTTGTTTCTTCTAATACTGTGAGAACCTTCAGAAAAAAAGTCAGCA